GGGGGGGGAAGAGTAGGAGCGGCCAAGCCCCGCCCCCACGCCGGGCCTGGCCAATCAGGCGCTGCGGTCTCAGACGTCGCGTTACGCGCGGCGCCGAGTCGGCCGCGGGGTGGAGGTACCGGCTCCCGGCTCGGACTCCGGGCTCTGGGCTCGGCGGCGAGGGCCCCGCAGGTAGCGAGGCCGGGCGGGTGGCCGGGCGGCGGCGCCCATCGCCCCTCGCCAGGCCCGCCATGCAGGGTCCTGCCGGGAACTCGAGCCATTCACTGCCGGGCGGGCCGCCTTCCACCGTAGCGTCCGGCGCGGGCCGCTGCGAGAGCGGTGCGCTCATGCACAGTTTCGGCATCTTCCTGCAGGGGCTGCTCGGCGTCGTGGCCTTCAGCACGTTGATGCGTGAGTCCGGGACCCCCGCCCTCCTGAAGCCCTGCGCCGCGAGCCTCGGGCCCACCGGCCTCGGGGACCCTCCTGCCTGAGGAGTTCAGGCCTTTGGCGAAGGTGCCTTCCTCCCGCGAGCCCAGGCTGGGCATTCCCAGACGAGGGGGATCTTTGGCCCCGACCCAGGGTCCTGGGTCCCTCGCCTTATCGCGGCAGCCTCTAGTCAGGGGTCACCCCTACTACTATTCTCCCACCCGCGCACACCTCTCTTCTGAGGTGCCCCCCTGCAACCGTGTCATCGCAAATTAAAGCTACCCCACTTAACAGCCTACGGCCATGACCCCCGGGAGGCATATTCTTTTCTGCCCCCTTTTAAAGGCTCTTCTTAGCCTCCCCTTCGCCCCCAGTCTGATACTGAGCTTTCTTCTTCACCTTCACTTCAGGATTTACTATGTCCCGTTCGCATATAAATCCTGCCACCTTGCAATACCTGGCTTATTAGGCCGTGCATTCCGTTCCCAGTACTACTTACCCCCGCCCCGGCCCTTCACCCTCAGCTTTAATTTTCTGTTTTGGTTGGAGCCGGACCCACCCAGACTGCCTTTTTCCCCGCATCTCCTTTTTCCTCTCCTTTTCCTGAACAAGCTCACCTGTTCCATCTCTGTCCCAACCTTTCCTAGTTAAGTTGCATCTCAAGTCTCCCCTGGCTGTTCCTTTTCCCAGCCCACTTTTGTTTATATTTCAGGTATCCTTCCTTTCCATGAGACTTGGGCAAATTAGGAGCTTAGTGGAGAAGCAGACTCAGAGGGTCTGAGGAGGTCTTAGAATTCCTGTGCTAAGTCATCAGGGGCCCTTCCTTGAGAGCTTCATGATGGGGAAGAAAGCCCCAGATAGCCCTTCTGGAAAACCAGAAGTTCCAACGTGTTGTCATGTGTGCCACGTGTTGAGGGGTTATGTTTTCTTAGTGTACATCCTTCCTTTTATTAAAGTGACAAGAGGCCTAGTAGCCCTGTGATTGCATTTCGGGGAAAGGAAGGGTTATAACTATTTTGACAGAGGTGTTATTTCCAAAATGACTTGTTCTCAAAATTTCCCCACTGTGCTCACGTGGGCAGAATGGGAAGTTCCTGCAGAAGGTATGCTCCTTGGCATCTGGGAAGGATCCTGCAGCTGTGTGTGCGTCTTGTAGGGTCCAGTTGCTGGAGTTGCAGCTTTGCTTGTTTATGATTTGTGGCCTATTTGGGTGAATTCTCCCAAGCTTTAGGTAACCCTGAAGAGGCTATTCTTGGACACCACTTTTTTTCTGGTTGCCTGGCCTTCGTAAGTCTTGAAACAAGTCCCAGACTGCATATGTTTGCTACTTTTTCTCTCCTTTTTAGTCTCTACTTGCCTTGCTGTTTTCCCTGCTGCACAAATACCCACTTGTTCCCACAGTAATAATTTGTGACGACTTAGCAAAAATCAGCTTCTGACTTGGGTGCATGAACTGTATGTCTGTATGTTCGAGACATTGTGCGTGGGTCTGCACTCCCCTCCCCACGTTTCTCTCCTCCAGCTGGCCTTCCTTTCTCCCTAAAGGAACTCCAGGCTTAGGTTTTATGTTGTTCCCTGACCTAAGGTTTCTGAGCATAGGCCTGGCTATTTTCATGGGTTTGATTGGTGCTGATGGCCCCACTAATTCCCTGGGGTTTGATACTTGTGATTCAGAGAGGGAAATGTGATTATGCATAGGCGGAGTTGCTCACAGCTGAGAAGTGTGCCGGGTTGAATGTGTTCAGGGTGATGGTGCTGGCCCTGCAAGTCTTCAGGGACACAGTCACTTCTTTACTTAACCTTCACTGTGAGCACAAGTGCAAATCCCGCCGTGGTTGGTATATTCCGTATGCAAAGGTGGAACTAGGAAGTGGTTTCTTGCTCAGTGTAAGGCTAGATGTGGAGGGAGCTTGTGGCATTGGGTAGTAGGTCGTGGGACAGTGATGAGTAGGGGTGATGGGGGGAAGAGTTGGAAAGGCTAGAGCTGTGTCTGCCCTGAATACAGGCATGGACATGGATCGAGAGCCCTATTCTCCCACCTAGAAGCAGACAGCAGCCCAAGGGTAGTCCCACTGATCGAGACCCAGTCAGGGAAGTACCTTTCTTCTCTTTAACTTGTTGGTTCTATTCAAATAGAACTGTGGGGCTTTTCCGTTTTGCAGGGCTGGGAAGAGGAGGAAATCTCTTAGGAACTGCTTTACATTTTGAAATGGACTTTATTGGGGAAAACGAAAGGGGGTGGAGGTGGTTTCAAGGAATTGCTCCTGCAAGCTGCTTGGCTGTCTTCCTGGTCACAGTGCCTGTTCCTCAGTCTGGCAGAGCTGCTGTCAGGAGTGCCAGGCTCCCATGAAAAGACTGCTCACCTTGCAGCCCTTGAGGGAGGTCTGGGTTCGTTAACATGAGGCCACTCCATCCTTTATCAATTCCATCATTGGTTTCTTCAAGCATATTTTCTCTCTCTCTCTCTCTTTTTTTTTTTAATTGGCTGTGCTGCGCGGCATGCGGGATCTTAGTTCCCTGACCAGGGGTCGAACCCATGCCCCCCTGCAGTGGAAGCACGGAGTCTCATCCACTGGACCACCAGGGAAGTTCCCAAGCGCATTTTAAATACCAGTCATCTCTCCTGAGCAGTTGAAACTAACAGTGCCTCTCTGGAGTCACAGTCTTTTCCGTTCAGGTGCTTTCCTCCTCCAGGGCAGTGGGCTCAGACACTTCTGACAACTCCCCAGTTCTTAGGGCAGGCACTATTCCATTTTCCTGTTGGACCAGCTCCATTGTATAGGATGGACCCATTTCTCTGCCAGACAGGCTGTGTGGTATTTTTCATCACTTCACATCCTGATTTCAGTGAATCCTCAGATCACTGTTTTTATGTTTCTTTTTCTACCCAGAAAATTACTTTTTCTCCATTTACAGGTTGCTGTGTTTTTTACCTAGAAGTAAAGGTTACCTTAAGGAAGACCCTCTTATATCTCAGGAGAGGATTTTGATTCTCACGGGGATTTCTCGTCCTGGTGCTCAGCTCACTGTGTGGGGATTTCCAGACGTCTCTGGCCAGGCAGTTGAGAGTCGGTGTGCCAGTTGATCTGTATAGCTGATTCTTTAAGCTGCCTAAACATACAAGCCACCATCTGCTGGCATGTCCCAGTGTCAGCATCGCCTTGTTCAGGGGGTGAACTTTCCAGAGGCTTCGGCTAAGGTACCCTGTGTGTCCAAGGAAAGCCAAACAAACTCAGAGGCAAGCTTTTAAAGGGCCTTCACCCTCTAGGTTTTCTGGAGTGTCACTGAAAGTCGTCAGGTGTCTGAGTAGAAGGAAATGCTTTAAATGAGGGACCTTTGTCATGCTCTACCTTTTGGTGGCTTTATCTGTAGTCTGTGACTCAGTGAAGTCACAGCAGAGCAGAGCTGAGCAGTCCTGGAGCTGCCCTGTGTGTTCCAGTACAGGGCAGTGGCCCAGCCGTCAGCAAAAGGTCAGTATTGGCCAGTGTGTATGTTGGCATTAGGGGTATTTACTCTCAGGACCTGTAAATGCAAAGCAGACTCAAGCCTCCTTCACCATGCACCATGAGTCCTGGGCTGAAGTGTAGACAGAATTGGCTTTTTAACAAAACAAGCATTTTGAGAGCTTGGATAAATCTACCTGCCTATTTTCATGTTACAGATTTGGGGACTGTCCAACTGAGAGAAGGTGTCATTGTTTTATGAGGACACTGATGGTGCTGAGAAATGATAGCATTTTTCCTGAGGCCCAAAGTAACATCACAGACTAGTCTACCCAGCTTTGAAATCTGTTTTTTTTTTTTTTTTTTTGCGGTATGCGGACCTCTCACTGTTGTGACCTCTCCCGTTGCAGAGCACAGGCTCCAGACGCTCAGGCTCAGCGGCCATGGCTCACGGGCCCAGCTGCTCCGCGGCATGTGGGATCTTCCCAGACCGGGGCACGAACCCATGTCCCCTGCATTGGCAGGCGGACTCTCAACCACTGCGCCACCAGGGAAGCCCCCCAGCTTTGAAATCTTAATCTCAGATGAGTCCCTGCTGTTTTGGCGCGTGGTGAACTGGCCTCCCTTTGTGTTCTGTACAGACATAGGCATGTTGGGACAACCTTTCCTGGGATCACCTGTCCCCACGCCATCCTAATTTTTATCTTAAAAAATGTCAGGTATACAGAAAAGATGAAAATAATACAATGAATGCCTATCTGCCCTCCACCTCGATTCAGAAATTGTTCACCTTTTGCCACATTTACTTTATCTCTTTTACTTTTTTTTTGGCTGACCCATTTGAAGGTAAGTTGCAGCCAGCATCACACTTTATCCGTAAAAACTTCAGTTGAGTCTCCTAAGGATAAGAATAGTTGTCTGTATAACCACAGTTTCTTTTTTTTTTTTTTTAATGAATTTATTTTTATTTGTTATATTTTGGCTATGTTGGGTCTTCGTTGCTGCGCGCGGGCTTTCTCTAGTTGTGGCGAGCGGGGGCTACTCCTCCTTGCAGTGCTCAGGCTTCTTGTTGCAGTGACTTCTCTTGTTGTGGAGCACGGGCTCTAGGCATGCGGGCTTCAGTAGTTGTGGCTCGCGGGGTCTAGACGCACAGGCTCAGTAGTTTTGGCACAGGGGCTTAGTTGTTCCGCGGCATGTGGGATCTTCCCGGACTAGGGCTGGAACCCGTATCCCCTGCATTGGCAGGTGGACTGTTAACCATTGCGCAACCAGGGAAGTCCCCATAACCACAGTTTCATGATCACACCTAAGAAAATTTATAACACTGCAATATCACTTAATATCTAATATTCACACTTCCCCTAACATCACAGGTCTCTTATAGCTGGAGTTTTACTTTGCACCTGGTTATGTTTTTAAGTCACTTTCACCCTAAAAGAATCTCCCCTACACACACACACACACACACACACACACACACACACACACACACACACACAAGTTTTTTTGTTTTTTGTTGTTGTTTACTGACATTGCCTTTGG